ACACTCATATATATATATATATATATATATATAAAACTTTTATACATATTTCTCAGAAACATATATATCGTGTCTCTACACAGCAGAGATCAATACTCCCTCATTTTTTATGTTAAACGTTGCAATTATACTTGCAATTATACTTCTCATCAAATTTTTATTAAAGAATAATTGAATCAATATTCATCAAAGAAATCGTCATTTCTTATTCATTATTCCGTGAATAAAATCTATATGTGTCCATATAATTGTAAGTATAACGTGTCAAATAGTTACATAATTTTAAATGATTATCTCAAAATTAACAAGCTTTTAATTTATAATTTAGTTAAAATAGTTTATTAAAAACTGTTTATCGATAATCTTACGAAAAAATAAACTGAACATTTATGATCGTTTCCATCAATGTAGATTAATCTTAGTTTAACTTACTTTTTATCTTTTTTTCTAATTTTAAAAATTAGAAAAAGATAAAGAGTAAATTGAATCCGAGATTAAAGTTAATTTACATGGGTGGAAATGGGTATTAGTCAAAATTATTGAATGTCACGAACTTTCATTAATTATTTCCATAATTTTATTTCTCTAATTTCTTCAGTATTTAAGAAGGTCCTTCGAAACTATGTTTGACGGTTCGATTATGTCTTATCGACGTGGCTTGGCGTGCGGTGCGATGAAATTGGGTCATCGTACGAAATTGCTACCACCTAAAACGAAATTATTCCGCGAAATTTCTCGACGCTGGATACGGTCTATTTGCGCGATATTAAGAACGCCATTAATAATCGGTTTCAGTCGAGAAGGATAGTACCGATGGTACTACTAATTTTTAAACAATTAAATAATCGATTTGCCTTTCCAGATACTCTGCAAAACATTTATTTAATTACCCAAGTTAGAAAATTGGTTGAAAGATTACATGAAATTATTATCCAAATGTTCCTATATAACAATACATAATCTTTTATTAAGTCTTAAAAGCGACGCATCTTAAATTTTTCATAATCAATTTTAGCATGAAAAGAGCACTGTAGAAATTGAAAGACTTAAATGATTTTATTAATATGATACGAATCTTAAATTAGAAAAATAAGAATACTGTTTAAGTATAAGGTCTTATTTTATATTTAAAATTAATTTACTCTAATAATATGTTAAAATCCTAATCTTATTATATCACAAAGATCAAGGCGCCAACTTGCCGATTAGCCGTGTGTAGAGTTGGACCAGCGTTGCCATGTGAAAAATGGACATATTCCAATATTTTCCCTTTAGCCTCACATTCATAATCTTTTTTTTGCGCCCGAAGCGTAAACTCCGAATTTCCCTCTGACAAACCTGGTACTACCAGCTAAATAATATAACGATATCTTTCTAATGAACTAGTTTCTTCATTGTAAATTTTATCAAGAATCATACTCATTAAGCACTACGAAATCCCTACTTGATTACATCTCTCTCTCTATCCGAGACAATCTTCGAAATCCTCGAATGTATGAATAATAAATTGTTCGATGCGCAGCACTTTTCTGTAACAATTCATCGTCAAAAGGTAAGATAATGAAATATAAGAAGAAAAAGGTCGGACCAATCACAGATAAGTCTACGCGTTAGCTCTGATTAGAGCTCGAGTTCTATCCTTGTTTTAATATTTAATGAAAAATAATTAGTGACGCGATAGCGCTGACAGCTCGTTCCCCGAACGCCTTAACTGCCTCTACGAAAAAACATTGACTACTAGCGATTTTCTATATTCACGGAGAAAAATATGGACTACGTTACAACGGAAAGAAGAAAGCGTGAATATTTTATCGGCCGCGTTCGATTCGCTAAGTAATTGAAATTTTGAAATAAAAGTTACAACAAAATTTAACTATTTTTGCTCAACATTAGTTATTTAAAAAAATTATTCATGTGTGGAATTCCACACACGAAAAATTCTGACGTGTGGAGTACTCTACACACTCCCCGCAAAAGTTGGCGCCCATGACAAACATCATCATATTATAGTTGGAGTTTATTCGTCACTGACACAGATAATAAATTATCTCTCGGCAAATGATGTTTTCAAATATTATGGAAATAAAAACCATCTTATATTCTATACAAAAATCAGACAGCACCTGCAACAAAATTTATCATAGTTGCTGTTTCTTCGGAAACTGATGCGCTTTACGTCCGTCCGGCAAGTCTGTTCCGTAATGTGACATAAATACATATTTATTGCGTGCGCAAAACGCGCACGTAGCCCGTAAACGTGCAGACCTTTGAGATTTATTCAACTTTATTCTATCCCTCTCGTTCCATTATCCATGATCGATCCTCGAAATATATACGTATATGTGCCTAGCTTGACCACTGGTAGTCATCTTTCTTCTGTTCACTTTTATATAAAACATGTATATCTATAGATTTTCCACATTCCTCTATCATACATTAGCAAGATCATGTACCATTATTACATTTGCCATTAAGCTGTTTTAATTAGTCAGAATAATTCTACGTAAATGTACAATCGACATGAATCGATTATACAGTGGATCAATTATACATTTTTTCATAATTTTTACACTTTTCTTGTGATCTTTAATCTTTCAATCATCAGTTTTACGCTTATAATATTTAATTGAAGATAATAATTATCTTTACCGATTAAATTTTATGGAATTAAATTTTATTAGAGATACTTTTAGTTATAAAAAATAAAGAGAAGATGAAAGATTCATTTAATTTCAATTCATATTCGATGAATAATGTGTCATTCGTTGTCATTATAAATTCTCTTGACATTTTCCATCCATCTGTACCGCGCAATGCAGATAAACAAATGCAGATAAACAAATTGACAATTCTTACAAATATTTTTCAAATATCATAATATCAATTATGATTCATAATATCAATAACGCACACATGGGAATGTGCGACAAGATTTATACCCAGGATACCTCAAAAGAACGCATGCCCATACATGGATTAATCATAACTGTTCAACATCGATAAAAGTACACTAACGTTAACATATTTTTTGAATATTTAAAATATCATTTATTAGAAATTAACTTCGTATTGATAAATACATCCAGAAAATTTTAAAAATAAATTTAGTTTTATTCAAATTGAAACTTTTAACATAGGTTTAAACAAAAATAAAACATTACTCTTATTGAATGTAAATGATTTAAAATATGTTATAAATATACATTAAATAATAAAACAATAAACCATCAAATAATTAATTTTTCAAAGTTTATGCATAAATTTAAAGTTTTATAAAATGTATTTTGTAAGAAATTTAGAATATGAGTGAAAAAAAATTTTTTAATTGGAAACTTAAGTAAATACAGATGAAGATGTAAGTAGATAAACAAATCTGAATTAGAATAACACATCACGAAAACAAAGAACCTCTAAGTCTAATGTTATCTAAGAAAATAGCAGCGCATTGACTTTAGATGGATTGCGGATCCGCAGTATATAGTTACCATGGAAATCGGAGATTATCTATACTCGACACAAATGTTATTATCGCTAGTCCTACATCATAATAAGCACGATAATTTCCTCAACATGATCACCATTGTAACCGCATACCGCGAGTGTATAGGTATTACCTGTGTATATTCTATGTATACACCTTCCATTACACCTTACATTGTAAAATGATATTAATTGCGAAAGTTTACCGCGAGAAATTCCTTCGTACTTTGATCGATTGTCGTACGATTCTCGATGACGAGATCTCATCAGATCTCGCCGCGAAGGCTGGTGGAGGGGCAGGGGAGGGTACGTATGTAAAAAAAAATACTTTTGAAAAAAAACAGCCGAGTGACAACAGGAAGTGGGACACTTTGTAGTCGGTGCAGTGGGTGAGAAATAGTAAGTGAGACGTATCCAGCAAGTGAACGAGTGGCGGTGCATACTTACGTCCCGTTAAAGGGTGCATCAGAGCGGGGTGCGAGGTGGCTGCTGCAGCGGCTGGTTGCTTGGGTTTGCTAACCTTTGTGTTACTTTTTGCAAATTCCAAACGTATGGTTTGTGGCATATCAGGATCGAATCTAACCCCCTGCTGCAAATAGATTCCCTAAATTAGTAAATTGGGAGCACACGTGGATGGGTGGTGGTAGTGTAGTAAGGCAAAGATGAGAGAATGAAAAAAAAAATGAAAAAAGAGAACGATAGTGGAGAGCCATTCTTTCGTCACTAGCGTTAAGTTAATTTCTTCCATCAGAAATAAAATTATTTTTAGTAGATCTCATTTTTCTAGGTATATGTTTTTTTCACAACAACTTCTTAAAAGTGATTCTTTGGTTGAAAGGCAAAGAATTGTCAATTATCTTTAAAGAGTTTTCCATGTATCGTATATCGATCTTTAAACAAAAATTAACTTATTTATACAGTATAAAAATATTTATCGTATATTTTACGTATAAACGTTTATATATATATTTATACAACATATGCAATATTTTTTCGACAACTGTAATAATATTTCTCATTTTCTCGCAATTTCCTGCAATTCTATCCTTAGTAATATAATAATAACTTCTACAGAAACGTTGACAGATCACGCTAGCCAATAACGTCTATCATGTTTTCAAAAGTGATTTATTTTCCTTTTATATATTTTACTGACATCGTTTATTTTGCGTAAATTTAACACAAAAATAAGCTAGATTGATGTTTACAAAAATATGAATGTTAATCGATATTCCATAATCGCCATATTTAATCAAAATAATTAACTTCTGTTTATTTTAGAACTGACAGTGCAAAACTATAGAAACGTATGTTACATATATTACTTTTTCAATATAATCATAATAAAACAATGTAAAATTAATTATTTATTCAATTATTTATTAATTCTTATAAATATATGAAAATATATCGGTAACACCCATAAATCTATACAAATTTTCATTCACACAAGTTGTATTTCAAATTGTAAAAGTTATTATCATCATAGATATCTTCATTTTATCAACAATATCTTTTAAATATAAATTATTTAAAATT